TAACCTTTATCGGACGAAAGGGAACTTTAGTTCCCGGCAAAATGTAATTTAAATTGTAAATGTAATTTTTATATTTTTTAACATCAGTAACATATGTTAAAAGATAACTTTAATAATAAACAATACATTTTCTTTATAAATGTTTTGACTTTTCATAAATAACTCAAAAAATAGATAGGATAGAGGCAAAAAACTAAATGCCTGCAGAGCTGAATTTAAATGCCGTCTTTTAAAGGTTAAATTCTAAGAATAACTATTCATCGAGCAGGAGGCTCCAAAATCTCAGGGCAGAATCGCTTTATTTTTACTTCTTAATATGTTTTTATTGATTTTAGAAAGAAGAAGGGAGAGGGAGAGAGAAACATCAATGATGAGAGAGTCATTGATCGGCTGCCTCCTGCTCGCCCCCTGCTGGGGATCCAGCCGGAAACCCGGACACGTGCCCTGACCGGGAATCGAACCCGTGACCTCCTGGTTCAGAGGAGGACTGAGCCACGCCAGCCGGGCAGTAGTGAGGTTTTTTTTTACCCCACCTCGACTCCGTCCAACCCAACCCACACTAAGGCCCCTGACTGGCCGCTGTCGCCACGGCACATTTGGGGTCACAGTCTAGTATGAGATGAACGACCACTTTAAGAAAAAGGCATCAGATGAAATGCAAGCGATTTCACAGCTGAGGACGCTGGAGCCTGAATTCCCGCAGCAGGAACCTGCCAGCTCTTTCTGGACATCACTCCTTTGGCTCCGAGCGACGGAGCTGCAGAAATGACGACTTCCAAGTTTTTTAAATTTCGTTCTAAATTATTATACCCAAGGGCTAATGGTTATCAGGAGTGTATGAAAAGTCAAGACCGTCGTTTCGCAATTATGTATTCTCTGTCCGTTACGGCATCCATCACACCCTGAAACCGAAGACTTCTGAAGTCGTAAATTTACAAATATATAAAAAACATATGGCGGTTCCACGTGAGGCTACGCTAAAAACATTAATAAAAGGGCCCCGAAGTTTACAGCCCTATAATCTGTTACAGTCGCTTAATTATACATATAATCAAATATACGCATAATTTGGTTTTGTTTTTTAATTCTCACGTGAGAATCGTTTTTCCACTGCTTTTCAGAGAAAGTAGAAAGGAGGGACAGAGAGAGACACATCGATCGGTGGCCTCGACGGGGGCCCGGGGATCGAGCCTGCAACCCAGGTATACGCCCTTGGCCCGAATCGAACCTGAGACCCTTCGGTCTTCGGGCTGATGCTCCAACTGCTGAGCCAAACAGGCCACAGCCCAGTACATGCTATTTTTAAAAAGACAAAGGCCACTCCTTTTTCGCCCGAGCCTTACCAGTCACGGCAAATTATTCTGACCCCTCTGGTTCGGAGGCCAGAGAGAGATGCTAGCGTCTGGGCTCCCCTGCTCCAGTCTCCACGCTGGAAACCGCTCCTGCACCTGACCCGAGTCTCGACAGCTTTGGGCCAGTGACTGACCGGGCCGGGCCTTCCCCCCTCCGGACCCGACAGTGCCCCCGGCTCCTCCGAGCTGGAGCCTCCTGTGGGCAGGTATGCAAAGGGGCAGCTGCTGCCTGGCTGATATTTAGACAGCAGATGGTGCACCCCCATGCCAGGGCCTTCGGAGGCCAACCAGCCAGCTGTCTCCCCTCACGGCACCCCCGGGGCGCCCAAGGGCACTGGCATCCCACTGAGCGGCGCGGTGAGGCCCCCACGCACCTGCCGGTCAAGCATCTGCGCAGAGAATAGGAGGCTCCGCCCCCGCAGGTCCGCGAGCAGTCACTCCAGTCTCCCCAGGCGTCCCAGTTGCCGTCTTTCTCTTTGTCTTCATCTGCGCGGGTGTTTCTCGAAGTCTAGAACAGGAAGGAGCCACAGTGCATTACGGACAGGCGCGTAAAAACACCCCAGCCCGTCCCGAGCTGTCCCAGAGTCCCCTACACTAAGCCGCTCACAGAGGCCGAAGTCGCCTGCACACGCTTCGCTCTGGACACAGACCACCCGAGATCGGTTTGTACGGAAAACCCGGGCGTCGCAGGGCCTGTGCACCGTACGAAGGTCTTGTCCAGATGGCTTCGAAGCTCGAGTTTAAATCTGGAATTTTATCCCGAAATTTAAACAAACTGGCTACATGCCAGTAATATTATTGTTGTTTTATAACTTGCACAGCATGGTGGTCCCAGCTTGTGCCAAAGCTCTCACCTTTGGCCCTGCCTGGTCTGGCTCAGTGGTTAGAGCCTCGGCCTGAGGACTGAAGGGTCCGGGGTTCGATTCCTGCCAAGGGCACGTGCCTCGGTTGCAGGCTGGATCCCCGGCCCCAGTCAGGGTACGTGCAGGAGGCACCCAGTCGATGTGTCTCTCTCACATCGATGTTTCTCTCTCTCTCTCGCCCTTCCACTGTCTCCGAAAAGCAATGGAAAAAATATCCTCGCGTGTGGATTAAAAAAAAAAAGTTCTCGCCTTTGAAATCCGGACGTGCCTGTCTGCCGGGCGGGTGCTAACTCCAAGAACCTTTTCGGCATGAGGATTTGTGGAACCAACCTCCTGAGAGAGGCTCCGTTCCCAGAAAACAAAGTCAGTAAAGCTTTAGGGGTCCAAGAAAATAGGGGAGGGTCATTTATGAATAGAGTTCGGTTTGGTTTTTTTCCCGGACTCACCACCACTGACATATGTCAGGATGCCCCAGAGAAAAGCTAAAGGCGGAGTTCCGAGTTAAAAATATATAGAGAAAGACGTAGATATAGATGTATAGGGTATCCCCCAAAATGTATACACACGCTTTGAATAATTACAAAGGCCGTGTTTCTTAAAGTACATTTTATTTTTCAAAATTGAGCTATCGGCTGTTAAAGTGTGTCTACATTTTGGGGGGACAACCCTGTAGATATGTAAAAAAGTGTTTATTAGTTAAAATGATAAAACTTTACTAAGGGACCTAAAGTAGACTTGGATAATTGGAGAAAGGTGTAGACCCAATACTGCAAAATATTAATTCTCTCCAAATTAATCTATATATTTATAGCAACTCCAATCAAAATCCCATAGGAAATTTTTTTTGTAACCTAATAGAAAATGATTCTGATGTTCATCTGGGGACTAAAATGCCTACAAGAGCAAAGGAAAAAAACCCAAAAAACAAAAAACTGTAAAAAAATGGAAATGAGAGGGAAATCACCTCAATTAAAAGAGTATAGAATTGACACAGCGATCGCAGTCTGATGTATTAAATTTTAAAAAAACAAGAGTCTAGAAACAGACGCAAGTATGAGGATACCGTGTGGGGCCAACAAGTCAATATGATGAATAATTAAAAAAAAAAAAATCATAGATAATGTCTTCAGAAAACACAATGAAATGAATTCCAGATCTATGAGGACTTTATCTTAAAAATGACGAAACCATACAACACTGGGAAAATTACAGATTAGTAGTCATATAAACCTGATATAGGAAAGACTGCCCTACGTGTGTCAACAAAGGTAGAAACTACAGAAGAAAATACACATGGGATTAATTACGTCCAAACAAAAATACACTTAGCACATTCTAGCTCTTTACCTACAGATAAAGCTGTCGGTATATGAGTATACACACAAAAATGCAGCGTAAAAGTGCAAATAGGCTGGAAATAAACACACCGAATGGCCTCTAAGAACGGAGGGTGCGGGACTGGGAGCGAATGTTGTGGGGGAAACACACAAAAGGGGCGCCAACTGGATGTTTTATTTCCCTCACCCCCTGAAAAGATCTGAAGCAAAAACGTTCAATTTGATGAAGCCAGGTGATGCTATAGTGGACGTTCGGTTCGTTTTATCTGAACTCTTGTGGTTTTTGAAATTTCTTTTTTGCTTTTAAATGTTTTTTGGGGGGGGGGGGTAAAAGGCAATCATTACAGAATCCTATAAGCCTATGTTGTTTTTAAACACGTAGGCGCATAGAGAAAGGAATGAGCGGTGAATGGTTGATTAAAATGTTGGCAGTGGCGGCCTCTAGTGGGGAGGAGGACTCCGGGGGGTTGTTTTAACATCTTCGGTTTTTGTTGTTTCTCTGCATCTCATGAAGTTTAATTTTTAAGCAGAATTAATACTTTCATTGAAAACAAGCCGGCCAACAAACAGGAAGCACATCCTGTCGGCAGACAGAAGAGCCCAAGTCAGACAGACGTTAACAGGTGAGTTGTAAGTCGGGGAACAGGAGAGTTTAAGAGGGAAACGCTGACATACAGCCCGTCTGTGACTGAACTCGACACCGCACAGCTTTCCTTAAGCCCTTGGGCCAACTTACCTCATCCAAGCGCAAAAAAAAAAAAAAAAATTAAATTAAAAGAGGGATCTGTAAAAGAGGACCTTCAAACGCGAAATGAAGAAATAATGACCAGACAGACGCAAGGAGGGGCCTTTCCCAATAATTTTCACCCGAGTCTCACCAGCCAGTGGCGCTGGTGGCTTCTTGCCAAGCTACCTATTTATAGCACAGGGAGCAGCCGGCCCGGCTACAGGCAATATTTCGGGAACAGTCGAGCAAGCCTGTCATCGGGAGTGAGAGCTAATTAAACCCATACCACAGACTCTCCCAATTAGACCACTGTTCAGCTCCACTCTCTACACTCAACGTCGCCAGGTAGAACCGGGTCCTGCCTATGACGTGACATAAAATATAGTTTTAATTCATAAAAAAAATAAATAAAAAAATACAGTAAGCCGTTTAATGCGCTCTCCCGGTCCTTTAGGTGGGTTCGCCCAAACCGCGGAGGCAAACCGTTAGACTAGTCACACAGCTGCGGCTGATTTTTCATTTTGTCACCCGATCCGCGCCGATAGGTTGAATGTGAAACGCTGAAAGGTATCACCCTATGTGTCTTTCAAAGGGAAGGCGGAGAGTCCTTTGCAATATTGTTCTAATTTATTTTCTACCCTCCCATCTGTTCCGTTTACGGTTCGAGTCGGGTTTCTTTCCGTAACTTCTCCACCTTGACTTACCCAAAAGGAAAAGGGAAAATCCTGATTCTGAAATAACTAAAAGAGGCAAGTTATAAATGCAGACGCCCCGTATTTCGGGTTGGATCGGTGAGGTATTTCGCCCCTGAGAAAAGAGAGAGAAGAGACAGAGACATCTCGAGAGGGGTCCTCAGCTTTGCCCCCTCTCCTTGCCCCCTCNTCGGGTTGGATCGGTGAGGTATTTCGCCCCTGAGAAAAGAGAGAGAAGAGACAGAGACATCTCGAGAGGGGTCCTCAGCTTTGCCCCCTCGCCTTGGCCATGAGCCCTGGGTCCCTGACACAGGGACCCAGGGGAAGGGGGCAGCTCGGCCAGGACAGCTCCACTTTCCAGGGAGCACACAGACCCCGCTGGGAGCTCGGGGGGAGCCTCACACGTCCCGGGTGCGATGGCACCGCAGTGCCTTCTGGCTTCTGGCTCGTCTCTGCTTTCTAATGGCGGTGCAGTGACCACATTTTCTATTTTCCTTGTTTTGCTCATCTGCATTTCCCAACTTTATACAGTGAACATGCAAACTTCGTGCCATAAAACACCCCATAAAAGCTCTCATTTTTTTTTTTTTAAGTGGAAAAAAAAAAAACAAAAACGCTAAAGGAAAACCATCCAGAGAAGCAAAACGCCGCACTGTGTCATTTTGGTTAAAACTATCGGGATTGACACACTCTTTGGAAATCTCATTTTCCTGAGTTAAGTTCTAGCTAGGGAATATTTGGGATTAAAAAAAAAAAAATTCAGCCCATCCGGCGTTGCTCAGTGGTTGAGCGTCGACCTATGAACCAGGAGGTCGGGCACAGGCCCGGGTTGTGGCTCGATCCCCAGTCGGGGGCATGCAGGCNCAGGAGGTCGGGCACAGGCCCGGGTTGTGGCTCGATCCCCAGTCGGGGGCATGCAGGCGGCAGCCAATCAATGACTCTCATCATTGATGTTTCTCTCTCTCTCCCTCTCCCTTCCTTTCTCTGAAATCAATAAAAAGATACTTAAAAAAAAATTCAAAAAGATTACTGTCTGCTCATGATGTACAGGACTGGTAAACGCAGAGAACAGCGTAGGAGTGAGTGTGTTCACCATCCCGTAAGGACACGGGGACTCTGGCCGTTCTCGGATCCCCGTGTGCAAATCAAACCATAAAATATTTTCCTGACCAGTCCCTAAACCTGTGACGTATAAGGAGTGGTGCCCGTCTACCAGTCTTGCAAAAAAAAAAACCAAAAAAAGTTGGTAATTAAACACAGGTTCTGCGTAGCAGGTCACTTATTGGAAACGCTCTGTGAACAGCTCCGTATTGAAAACAACCCAAAATAACATACGTTCCACTGGGATATCCCTTCCCAGGCATCAAATAAATGTCCGTTGCACGATCACCGCAGAGGCTACCTAAGGAGATCACACACGACCCAGGTTTTGTTAACAGCCGATACATCCTCCCAGGTTAATCACTACCTGGAGCAACAATGCACAAAATAATTTTAATGAGTTGGGTTTAATGACATAAAAATGTCGCTCAAGCCCTGGATGGTGTTGCTCAGTGGTTGCCGCATNTTAATCACTACCTGGAGCAACAATGCACAAAATAATTTTAATGAGTTGGGTTTAATGACATAAAAATGTCGCTCAAGCCCTGGCCGGTGTTGCTCAGTGGTTGCCGCATCGGCCTTCGGACTGAAGGGTCTCGGGTTCGATTCCTGATCAAGGACACGTACCTCGGTTGCATCCTCGATCCCCAGCCCCAATCTGGGCGTGTGGTGGGAGGCAATGAATTGATGTGTCTCTCTCACATCAATGTTTCTCTCTCGCTCTCTCTCCCTTCCTCTCTCTCTGAAAAGCAATGGAAAAAATATCCTCAGGTATTAAAAAAATAAAA